ACAGACTTCAGACGGATGGATGATTCATTCGCAGTTGGGAGCGAATGCGATTGGCACCGATCAGGAAGCTTAATCAATCTTAATCACATGACACGACACTTGTCACCGCTCTTCAAACAGGCCTGCTGCGAAGCCAGCAAACTTGCAAAGATACTGCAACTAACAGAACTTGGACCAGAATGGCCGCTTTTTTGTTGTTTCCGACTGTCGGGCTTTCCGTGAACTCTGGCTCACGTGTACGTGTGCCAGAAGCCCTCCGCTCCTGCAGCATGACCAAGCCCAAGTTCATCAAGATGCCAGAAAGCAAGAACCTCGCGAGTTGCAATTCCTGCAAAGCTCCCGCCCCGGAGAGGAGAGTCAGCTGAAACGTCGGACGTAAAGCACTTGGGATGCCGGCCGCGGGAACAAGTTCATCACGGGGAACTTAGCTCAGCGTGCGAGTGCTGCATCTTCGAAGCATGCGGATGCTCAGGGCTCCGGCGCCAGACAGCCACAAAGCTAGCTGCAGGGCTGCTGTCAGCACCTGGACGCCAAGTAACAAGGGCCAACTGACAAACAGTTTGCCTTTTCCGCAGATACCGGTGCTGAGACTCGTGCTGCAGCCTGCAACGTCGTGCTTCCAGCTTCCTCGGACTACGGGCATTTCTTGGTGCAGGGAATTCGGGGAGCTGGGAAAAATGCCGCGTTGAAGGTCGTCAGGCCAGGAGAGTGCGACCCAATGACCTGAGCAGAGTCTCAAGATCTTGGAGTCTTGAGACATTTCTGGATCAGGAGAACTCGCCAAGTGACAGACCGTTCCACAACAGCCTGCGATGCCACTGGCTATGCCCGTCCATTTTACCTGACACAAGCAAGGCCACAAATAAGGTGTTGGAAAGCAGAGAACGGAAGCGACAGCGCCTCTTCGTCCACACCAATCATGTAACCGGTTGAGCCCTGGCAAAGTGCCAAGAGATGACGAAGGATGTGGCTGCCAAACGTCCACCACGAATGCGCATTGAGCCACGTCAGAGAGCCTCGATGCCCGCAATACGGAGCGTCAGCGAGAGAATCAGGACAAACCCCAGACCTGCGATCAATCCAAGCATCAACAAGTCTCCCGACCATGCACCAGTTTGGGCCCCCACCGAGGAATGTGGCCAACTTGGGTGGAAGCAAATGCCTGCGGCACTCCCTTGCCCAGCTGAAGTGCCGACGGAACCAATTCCGAGTATAGACGACAGGCTGAAAAATGAGCATGCTACGCAGCGAGAAAGCGATTCTGTTCCTATGTTGGCGCTTTCAGCTCCATCAAAACTCGGTTACGGCAGCACCGAGAAATATGAATCCGCCGAGGCCACAGGCCCAGGCGTCTTGGGGGTTACAACAAATTCCCTCCACCTAATCCTCCTCTTTGCGTCCATTTTCCACCCCCCCCCGCCCGGCTTCGCCTGATTTT